TTCCTCTCCCAACGCATTTTCCAGGTCAAAATTGCCTCTGCCTCATCATCTTTCTTTCCTCAAATCAAAGGTGTCCCACAAGGCAGTGTGCTCAGTACAACTTTATTCCTTCTTGCTGTTAATGATGTTGTCTCAGTTTTACCACCAGGAGCCCGGTCATCACTATATGTTGATGATTTAACCATCTATGCCTCTGGCACATCCATACCAAATCTCTACCAATTTCTTCACTCTGCAATCTCATCAGTATTTTCCTGGGCCACAAACCATGGCTTCCGCTTTTCTATCTCTAAATCTTTCTCCATCCTTTTCTCTCGCACACGTGTAGCTCCCCTCCACTCTTCTTATATGGCACTCCACTCCAATACTGTTCCACTGGCAAATTCCTAGATGTCATTTTTGACTCCAAACTGTCCTGGCGAGACCATATTCTTCACATTAAAGCTCTCCGCCGTTTTCGTATCTTAAAAACTCTATCCCATATATCATGGGGCTCAGATCGCAAACCTCTCCTTCGTCTCCATGTTACCTTGATTCTCTCCACTCTTGATTATGGATGCCATACCTACTCCTCTGCCTCAACTTCTCTCCTTGCCCATCTTGATACAATCCATCACTGTGGTCTTCGCTTAGCACTAGGCGCCTTCCGCTCCTCTCCAGTTGAGAGCCTGTATACTGAATCAGGCATACCATCTCTCTCTCGACGCCGTGCCCTTCTCTCTCTCCGATGTTATGCTCGATTCCACCTACTTTCCCTCACTAAACTAACTATCCCACAATCCCTACTTCCTACCTTAGTTTCTTCTCCACGTTTACCTACTCATTTCTCCACTCGCATTGATACCCTCCTTTCCCCCATCTCCAACCCCTCCCGTTCTCTGTCCATTTTGTCCCTCCATGGTTTATACCTTACCCCATATTTGCTCTTCTGTTTTCCCCGACCCACCAAAATCAAATATTCCTCCTGCTGTCCTTCTCACCCATTTCCTTGACCATGTCTCCACTCATTCCTCTAGTATTCACGTATATACTAATGGCTCCACCTCCGGTGCTGGTTTTGCAGTAATCTTCCCAACTCGTACTTTCAAATACTCCCTCCCTCCTGAATCCAGTGTCCTTACTACAGAACTGTATCCCATATATCCACTGTCCTTTTTGCCTTTTTTTGCCAAAAATCCTTTTTGCCTTAAAACACATATACTCACTCTCCGCTTCCTCTTTTACAATTTTTACTGACTTCCGTAACTCATTAACTCTCATAAAGTCAATACACACCACCAACCCCCTTGTTTGTAAGATTCAGAACTGGTTGTTCTACTTGTCCACACGCCATAAAACAATCAAATTTTCCTGGGTGCCCAGCCATGTTGGAATCCCCGGCAATGAACAAGCTGATACACTAGCACGCCACGCCGCTATGTCCACATCATACCAACCACGCTTCTCACGTATCCCAGCCACGGATTATTACCCACACTTTAAGACCTTATGTAACCGATGGCAATCTTTTTGGTCAAGTCTCCGCACTAATAAATTACGTTCTCTAAAACTATCAATCTCCTCCTGGTCAGCTCCATTTCATCGGAACAGACGTTGGGAGACCTCTCTCGCCCGCTTACGCATTGGCCACACCCGTCTAACACACTCCTATCTGATGTCACAATCTGATCCACCCCTATGTTCCTTATGTAATGTTCCCCTTTCAATCCCACACATCCTACTGTCGTGCCCACGTTTTGAAGCAGCCCGTACCTCTGCTTTCCCCCACCTATCCTCCCTTCACCGACCTCCCAACCTATCAGACATCCTTACAGAATCCCACACTTTCTGCTTCAACAACCTGTTCTCTTTCCTCAAACGCATATATATCCTTCATCTAATCTAACTCCCTATCACACCCGACCTTAACCCTTTCACTTACCAATTCCTTTGCCCAGCTTAGACAACGACCTTAGATGTCTAGCACATTTAACTTGCTTTTAACCATTAACCCATTTCCCCACATATTCCAGGCTTACCATGACGAGTTATGAAGATTTTGCACCCTTATTAGGGGCATTGAGGTTTGCCCTAACATCTGATTTACCCGACCACTGCTATCACACCCCCTTTCTCAACATGTACTGTTAATTCGAATTCATCTACCCAGGTTATTATTCAACCTTCAAAGACACCCCTTCCTCACTCCTAATATCTTCCAACCCACCTCCTGCACAATCATCATTTTCTACCTCCTCCCTTATTACAACTCTTTTATCTCATTGCCCTCACCCCCACACTATCTCACCCGACACCACTCGCTCCTTCTCTCGTCCTCGCCACTCAGCAATTCACACTTCTACAAATCTCTAACATACTCTAGACTTACCATGGCCAATAATGAAGATGTTATACCCTTGTTAGAGGCAATGAGGCTTGCCCCTTCATCAAATAGCCCCACCCAGGCTCTACTTTGCCCACGACTCTGA